CATTTGTAGCATGTTTAAGCTACTGCTTAGTATTTCTATCTACCTATCTACCCATCTATCTATCTAATCTTTCTTATCTTATCTTTCAGCATAATTTCTGCTCCATTTTATCAGCCAGCCATATCTGGCCATAGCAAATCATTGGAGAGAGACCAGGAGAGACACCTTTCTTTGACAATCGCCCACAGGCTCCGTCAGTATTTCCATTTTCTAGGCCTATTCCTCTCCTCAGCACTCCAGCAGCGACTCTATGCCCCATGCTGCATGCCACAATGTCAAATGCACGCAACACCAGCCAAATGCCATTAGCTTCTCTTTCAGCCTCTTGGAAGTTTCGCCCACTTTCCGCTGCTCCAAACTCCGTTTCGGGGCCTTTCTCTTTCCCTGTCGCTGTCGCTGACGCTGTCTCCAGCTCCTCTCTTGCTCCTCTCTGGCTTCGGCTCTTGCCATCTCTTTCCTGCGCTGCATGCCCCATTACGCTGTCCATTTGAGTGGTCATTATAGTAAATTTGATTTGGACTTGCGTTGCGTTGCTCAAGAGCAGATCGGAGCCGGAATGGAACACTTGGCCGGCTCTGCCGCAGCCGCTGCCGCTGCCGCCCGGGCCACATCATCAATACCAAAGTGACACAGCTGGAGGTGGGCAGGAGAGGGGAAGCAAGAAGGGGGACCCAGGAGGAACCTGAAGGAAGCAGGAAGAGCTGAGGAGCTGGGGAGCTGAAATATCGAACACGTAGTTAATCAATCCATTGGTGGTCCGAAAACACGACGCGCCAGCAATTACTGTTAACTGGATTGTTGCCTCGTTCCTCGTGCCCCGTGGCCCGTGCCACATGCCCCCCCTGCCCGTCTGCAACGTCTGTACGCACTTTTCGGGGACGGCTGCTGCAACTGCAACTGCAACTGAAACTGGAACATGCTCTGCTCGGAAGGGGTACCCTCCAACGTGGGCGGCAACATCTCTCACAGTTGGCCAACATTCTATTTTCCATTTCCCTCCCCACATTTTCCATCAGTGCTGTGCTGTCATTTCTTTTCCTCTCACTCTCTGAACTGCAATTAAAACGGTTCCTGGGCCACAATTCATTCCGCTGCAAACGTTTTCGCAAAGTAATTATGTTGTCATTAGATTGAAAAAAGCCTACGAAAATTCTGGAAAATTCCAGCTGTGGAGGCGTTCAAGTGTGGGTGGGTATTCGACTGATTTTGGAGTCACGTATGAATTCAGGTCCCCCGAAATCTGGGCTCAATCAGAATAACAAGAGTTGGTTCAAAAGTTCTTTAAGGTGACCAAAAAAGTTAACACTAAGGTCTCTCTCTCTCTCTCTCTCTGCCTGTCTTTGGGTATTGTTATTCCGAAAAAGGTGGGATCGATTTGTTGGTATCTCAATGTTGCTGGAACTTGCAATGATCCAATCTGATCGAGATGCTGCAGTCTAGTAGATATGCTTCTTGTCTATTGTTCTTTGTTTTCTAGAACTCCCTCGATTCCTTAACCCTTAGACCTCAGTCAAACATTGAGGCCTTAACTCAGTTCAAGGTTGTGATTATAGCAGAGGTGCTGGGGCTCTTTGGATTGCGGAGCGATTAGATTAGTTATGCTTGCCTAACCAGAGAACCGCGATTCATACTCAGGATTCAGATTGTGATTCAAATTCTGGTTGGGGATGGCGGCAGCTTGAAAAGGAAAGTGGGCGGGCTGGCCAGTGGCCCAGGGTCTGCGAGTTGCACACCTTAATTGGCCCGACCGAAGAGGCAGCTACTGTGGGGAATGGGACTGTTAGCCACTTTGCATACACATGCCCGAGCCTGAACCTCGGCATTGGGGCCTTTGGGCCTTAGGCCTTTGATCGCGGGATCTTTTGTTGTCGCGTTTCGCATAATTACGCGCAAAAACATAATTCTAGAGATAATTAAAATTATTAATACCAGTATCTGAGATGGGCTTCCATACCATGCCATTCCATTCGTAGGTCCAAAACGCTGCGCAGAAAATGCGTTCAGGCGGCCGTAACTAATAATCCCGTGCATGCAAAGCATAACCCTCTAGGGTTCTAGTTCATCCCTTTCGGCTATTGGCCAAGAGGCAGGTATCCAGGGATGGTACCGTGAGCTGAAATATCTAGAGGTCTATGATCTAGTCGTGAGGATCGCGAGCTGTCGGTTAAGTTTTAGCTGTAGCTTTTAGCTGGCTCTAGTTTGCATCTTTTGTGACTTGTTTCCAGGTTTTTCAAGATATTCAAGACTATTATGTCTACCGCTGTTTAGCATCAAAGGGTGTGTCGTGAACTATCGTGACAATGCCTCTGACTGGGACCCGTGAGTGGCGTGATTCGCGCATCTCTAGGATGCCTTAGGCCTCTTAGGCTTCTTCTGCTTCAGTTTTAGCCACTTCCAGTTTGTATTTTTCCGCTGCTGGTGCTGCTTCTACAACTTCTTGTGGCACTTGCAACCGGCAATCAGCACGCAATTGCGAAATGTTGTTGCCTAATAGAATTTCATGTGCGCATCGCATCGCCTCGACTCCGACCCGACTCGACTCGCATGCAAATTGAGAACAATTATAAAGGAGAGAAAAAACAACGAGAGGCAAAGCGCAGCACAGAAAAGGAAATATTTTTATAAAGAAACTTTTCACATTTTCATATTTGTGCACTCTTTTTCTCTTACGTATATATAAATTGTTTTTAATAGAAATAATTGCAGTTGGAGCTGGGGATCTGAGGATCTATCGCAAAAGGCTATTGCCTGCGATTACTTGTACAATATTTTGTGGCTACCTCCGCCTTCTCCTCCTCCTGATGATGATGATGATGATGATCCCGACTGGGATGTTCGCACTTCGTAATTTCGTAGCAACATCGTTGCAGTGTCGCCCCATAAATTTGATGCCCAATTATTGAAATTGCATTAGAAGTGCGTAATTGCAACAAGGCAACATTCACTGGACACCTGGACACCTGGCAACACAACACAGAGTTGCATGTTCAATTAACACTTATGTATGTCATCGTCATCGTCATCGCCATCGGAAGGTAGATCGGTCGCCTCCTGCTCTCAGGATGAAATTGGTTGGCATTTTTACGTATTATTTACAGCCTGTTAATTGCGTTCATTTTGCGCCTTATGTGTGGGGCTCGGCAGTGGGCGTGGCTGCTCAAATTAAGGTAGAACGAAGTGGAGTGGAATGCCTCCAATTGGGGTTGTTAGCCACAGGTTCGTCTTGGTCTCCAATCTCCATATAAACGGCCTTTCATCTGTTGTGAAGCGGAACTCTGTTCCTAAATAGTCCCCAATGGAACTCTTCGTTCAAGATCTGTTTGGAGCAGGGTATGCATTCACTTATCATATTCTTCATTGGGACTACCTTAAGCTCCATCCACATCTCTGGGTTTTTGCCCATAGAGCATCTCCTAGTCGTTCCGATAGTCTTCCGCTCTCCCGCTCTCATTCATTTGGTCGCTCTTGTGGGCTTGTTTATTCATTAGGTTCTGCGGAAAAACGTGTTTAATTTGTGACAAAACGAAACGAAATCTCTCGTCCTTGTCGTCGTCGTCGTCGTCGTCGTCTGCCTGTGGGGCTACTGTCCGATGGCTCATCTGGCTGCTGCTGCTGCTGCTGCTGCTGCCTACCATGCCTCATATCAGTGGAATCTCGGCCTGAGCCTCAACCTCAGTCTGAGTCTGAGACTGGGCCTGTGCCTCAAGCTGAGTCTCAGTCTGGCAAAGCTGGAGGTGCAGCCCGAGTCTCAGTCGAAGCCTCAGTCTCAGTGAGGCAATAAAAATTTATGAAGCCAGTCGGGAGAGAGAGAGAGAGGGAGAGAGAGAGAGAGAGAGAGAGGACAGGGTTCAAGCCACCGCTTGCCACTTTGGGGCAACAGGAGATCCTCTCGAGATGTGCGTACACACAGCGGACGACGACTGCGTCAACTGTTCTGCCAAATTAATAAGAATCGGGCACATGCATGGGCCATGGGGCATGGGGAACTCGTTTCTCAACTATGCACCCACAAGGCCCCTGCCCCACCGCCCACCGCTCCGCACCGCACCGCTCCGCACCGCATCGCCAGCCCCATTCCCATTCGCCAGAGCCTGAGCCTTGGCAGATGTCACGACGCGCATTGTCAAACAAGCCCGAAAAAAAATCAAAAAAAAAAGGAAGCCAGACTTCCACAGCCGAAACATTTGATACCCTTCGAAAAAATCCATCATTCTATTTGGGATTTATAGAATCTACGACTATACGTGTGTATACGCTGATTCGATTGAGGATTGATAGATGACAGAACAAGTTGCCACATGGCTGTACAAATTCTATAAAGGCCGATATCCTCTGCAAAGGGTATCCACAAAACGAGGGGGGAACAGCAAAAGCAATGCAAACGCAAAGTTGGCAACATTTTTTCGCTTGGCAGCCACCAAATTGTAACATAAATAGACTGACAAAAGTTAGTTAGAGAAGAGATGGATGCAGCAGAGGAGAGCCTAGGAGGAGGAGGAGGAGGAGCAGAGCCACGAGGATGCGGGGGGTACCTGGAGGTCTCCTCCAAATGCTGCTGCACATGCGCAGTAACAACCAGCAACAGCAGCAACAGCAACAGCAACAGCAACAGCAACATAGCAACCGGCAAGAAAAGTTCAACATGGCTCTTGGAGTCGGTTGTCGGTTGTCGGTCTTGTGGCGACCATGAAAAACGTGACATTTTTATGTTGCAAACTTTAAATCTTTCATATCAGAAAATGAAATGTTGCAATGCAATTGACTGCAACAACAGCAACAACACGCGCTCTGATGACATTTTGCAGCAACAACATCCATTCATGTGCACATGTTCTCCTCAGTTCTCTCGGATGGTCTTTGCTGGGGGACAGGAACTTCGTTCTGCCTGTGCTTCGAATTGAGCTGGCCAAAATACAATTGCCAATGAAATGTACTTTCCATCTCACTTTCAATTGAGATCTTAGGCAACAAATGCATTTGTATCAGTTTTGTTTATCGATTTAAATATTTATTCAAAAGATTCCGAAAATGTCTTCCTTAGCCGTACGCCAGTACCATTCTGTAGTCAAAAATACAACAAAAGTATTAATTTTAAAATTTAAAAAAATATATATATATGTGAATGTGTGTTACCTCTCTGTTTGGTTAATCTCTGCTCTCTTGGAGTGTCCCCTCCTCCCCGCCCTCGGCCCTCGGCGGCACATCGGTCATCATCAGCTTGTAGAGCAGCGTCTCGAGGGCCCATCCGCCGCCGCGGGCCAGTCTGTAGAGGTCCCGTTGGCTCAGGCCCATATTCATTCGCTTCAAAGTCCTTATGTTGAATATATGCCAGTTTTGTTTCTTCAGCGCCACGCTGCTGCGGGCCAAATAGCACCTGAAGTCCACGAGTCCGGGGTGCACCTTGTCGAAGAGTTTTGCCACCGCGAAGGCGTCGCTGAATTCGTTGCGCGTGCGAAAATTCAGCTCCACCTCATATTTCTTTAACCATTGCTCTAGTGTCTGGCGTTGCTCGTAGTTCAATTCACGAAAGAAAGGCATTGTGGCTGTATGGATGTCTTCCAAAACTAAACTAAAACCAAACTCTAATTTTGAAGCACTAAAAGTAATTTTTTCGAAATTTTGTGTTTTTTTTTGTTGTTTTTTTTTTGTGAGGTTTATAATGAAGCCGAGAGTGTTCTGAACTAAACTGAGATTTGTGTGGTGCCGTGGTGCTGTGTTGACAGCAGGCTCCAAAAGGTTACTTGATTGATTTTTGTACGTGTGTATTTTTTTTGACATAAATATAAAAATGGGAAAATTGTACCTTTAATTCTTGGGAAGCTTACCCTTCAATCGGAACGATTTAATAACTGATTGGCGTGTGGCAATTTGAAACGAAAATGGCCATTAAGAGGGGGATCTTGGGGCTTAAGAAACAAGCAACGACAAATCGGCGGATCAGGGAAGGCTTACAGAGTTCGAAATGGTAAAAACTTGTACAGCATTGATTAGCGGCGATGAGAAAGAGAACTCTCCTCGGGGTGGGGCTATGGGGTGGTGCCAGTGGGCGGGCTGGTTCCCATAGGGATATGCTGGTTTGTGTGGAGGAGAGGAGGAGAGGAGGAGTGGTGTTCGCTTTGGCTTTTGGTTCGGTTCGGTTTTTCGGTTCTGTCACGGACATTTAATTTATGTTCGGATTTTTTGTTTATTGCGGTACACATAAGGAAGACTATTGCGCCGCTCTTTCCTCGTCCTTTCTGGGGCGCTACATTTTTTTGGGGTTATATGTCCAGAGAGCTCGCCACGCTCGACTCTCGACTCTGTTCGATTTTGGTTGGTCAGCATCGATAGGCGACTCGCACACAGGGAAGCACAGTGCCACGCATCTATATCCATATCCATATGCATATGCATTGGACCCCCACCCCCACCAGCAGTAAACGCCCCATTCTTTCCACCTCCTGGACTCTTCTGCCTCCTTCATTTTCCATTGCTTTTCCTTTACTCTTCCATTTTTTTTTTTTTTTTTTGGTATTTTTCTTTTTAATTACAAAGCAAGAAACGAGGAGGCACTATTTCTCTCTCTCTCTCTCTCTCTCTTTATTGCTCTCCATGTGTGTGTGTGTGTGTGTGGAGAGAGCAGGACAACTGAAGTGGGTTAGAAGAGGGTAGCATGTGGCATATGGCATGTGGCATGTGGGTGTGGACGGTTGGGGGTAATGGCTAGTGGGTGGCTGGGGCTGCGTCAGGGGCAGGGGCAGGGGCAGATGGGCTGCAGCTCCTCTGCAGTGGCAATAATTCGATTAGTGCTTGTGTCTATTTTCAGCCTCCTCTTCTGCACAATTTTTTTCCCCATCCCCCCATTCCCCCATTCCCCCACTATCCTTGTGTGTGTGTTGCTGCGCCCAACAGTTTTTCCAGTTTTCTGCTTGTTTTGCAATTTTTCCCCGGCTATATTTTCCATTCCTTTTTCTTTAGCCATTCATTTTTGTTGTTGTTGTTGTTGTTGTTGTTTGTTGTTGTAGTCCTTTCTTTTCTGTTGCTGTTGTGTGCTGTGGATGTTGCATGCTGCGCTGCGCTGCGCTGCGGCGCCTCGACGTGGATGTGGGGGTTCAGGCCGAACCAGGACTGGGCCGCGCACAGGACTCTATCGGCGTGGACACCCGCGCCTGGACATTGGTCATCATTCATCAAAGTGAAATGTTGATTTAGTGCTGCGAGGGCTTCGGGGCGGCTGCCTGCTAGCCACCAAATGGGGCAGGACACCCACCCATCCAGCAGGAGCAGCATCGGCATTGGGTTGCACTTTTTGTTGTCTTGTTTGGGGGGGGGGGGGGTGGGATATAGGGATTTGGGTGTGCGCTATATATCCACGGCTCTGGCTCTGGCTCTGGCTTGGGCTCTGTCCTCGTCCTGGGCCTGGTGGCGCCATTTTGTTGCTGTTGTTGCATGTGTGATGAATTGATGCTGTTTATTCGACTGCAAACATAACCAGGATGTGGATGTGGAGAGTGCTGCTGCAGGGTGTCGCCTCCCCACGAGATGGGGCCAGAGATATGTATATAGTTTTGGCCGCCCCAATGGGATGGGGCAGGGTCGGGTGGCTTTTCTGCCTTCTTCCTGTTATGCTTTTTGATTAGCAACAAAAAAAAGATACGTGGAAGACGACGAATAAGGACCAGAAGCCGAAGCCGAAGCAGATGAAGAAAGAAGAATTAAAAAATGTCCATTTCTGTGTGTGATAGAGAGCAAAAAAAAAAAGCAACAAATTTAAGGAATATGCAAAACTGAAGGAAGGATAACCCGAGCTGGGAAATGCTCTACGAAATGGGCACAATAGAACACTTTATCTCCTGATGTTTAAAATGGTTACAAAGATGCATTTATAGACCGATAAATGGGAGTATAAATGATGATAGAACGAAGAGTCTTTTGGATATAACACACATTTCTAAGGTATTTTATTATAATTATTGCTAATCTTATATCGAGTGAGAGCCGAGTATCCATAGAATCCGTAGACCCCTTTGCTCACATCCCCCATTTATGAGGGTATACAAATTGCACTATTTTCGCAAATGCAAAAAAAAAAACGAACAATTTTTTTCCTTCGTTTTCATTTTCTTTATATTTTTTTTTTTGTGTCTTGTTGTGTGTGGAGGGAGCTGCTCCGTTGGCCAATCAAATTGGTGGAGGCGTTAACATGCATGGGCGTGGCATGACCGGGCCGATATGTATGGGGACAAAATCGAGGAGCTATAGGTGCAGATATAGCTGCTGGATATTGGGCACATTCGAGTCGGTTTGGTTATATGGCGATGGCTATATGGCGATGGCGATGGCGATGGCGATGGCGATGGCGATGGCGATGCTGGTCACATGCACATAGGAGCCGGAAAAGGGAAAGAGCAAGGGAAGGGGACTTTGACAAGCTCTGGATGGATATTGATTGAATGGCACCCGCATACAGCTAACACCGCCTGGGCTGTGACACCCTCCTCCTCCGCCCGCCTTTGTGTGCTGTCCCGACCCTCTGTGCAGGTGAATTTGAATCGGGGTTGCCTTTGTCCGTTTTTCGCCATGTTCTTTTTAATTAACGCTAATTCCAATTATATATTTCGTTGCTTCTCCCGTCAGAGATTGCAGATGCACCATATGCCATGCCACACAAGCACCTCTCGTGCACTGAGTATTGTTGTGGGTCCTTCCCATCGAGCATTGTACATACAGCATATATGAATGAGACGCCATTCAATGCGGTCTAATAGCAGATCATAGTCGGATTAAGTGACTCCTAAAGCTGCTTAAGAAGTTCAATTATGCGTAAAACGTATGTGGTTAAAGGGAAACCCATAGCAAAATATATTTCTTCTAGAGGGACACAACTCCCTGTTCAGATAGTACCTCTGAGCTATCTGGGAGGACCAACCTAAGTTGACTGATGATATGGGTACAAGAAATGTAGTTCTCGCTCTTCTCTGATTACCATAACCATAACCATATCGTAGTGGTATCCCGAAACTCATCGCATCTTCAGTCATGGGGGAGGGTACTGCAGGGGTTACTCCACAGCGGAGCTGCATTCAATTTTCTGTTTACCTCTTGCTTCTTTTTGCTGCAAGTTGCGGGCGCCATAAACTTGCGATCGTTTGAGAGATCTGCGAGCGGAAAAGCGAGCATTGCGAATGACATTCGGTGCACTATTTTCCCACTCCCTCGCTCCCTCGCTCCCTCGCTCCCCCACTACCCTATATCTCTCTCCATATCCCTCTAGTGTCTCTCTCTGGCTGGTCTGCTCTTCTTTTTCCTCACGTTGCTCTTTTTTTGTGGCTCTTATGCATTCCAATGGCAATGGGGATCGTCGAAAAATGCGCAGATTTTCGTAGCGATTCTCTGCCCTCCCTGACAAGAGGGGCAGAGCTTAGGGGGAGTTGGGGCTAGTGGGAGTGGGAGTGGGGCGAGCAGACAAAAAGCGCAGGCGGGTGGGCGCCGTTGGCCCCATCGCGAGAGCCAAGAACGTAAAGCATAATAAAAAGTCGTGCCTTACGTGCAGCAGTGCAGGGGCCAGCCCCCCCCTCTCTGTGCCCCAATACCCACACCCAGCCGCACTGCATTACCCCCCTTGCCGCTGAGCCAATAGCGACCTCAGTTCAAAGCATTTGTTTTACAGGGTAGAATGTGGGGTATATATGGGTTTGTTGGAGAGAAAATGCCTGGGAAAGCCAATCAAAAATTATCAAAAAAGTCGGCGAATCTTAGAGACATATTGAATATGTGCTATGATTGATCGAGTCCATACTTCTTTTCCCCTGCACACTCGCTACTTTCGACTCTGACAATAGGTATCCCCACAGCCTCTATTTCCCATCTTTTGGCCAAGTAAATCCACTTCTATGCTGCACTTTTGCTTTGCTCCTTTTTTTCGGTTGCCTAAGCAAAACATTTTTAGTGGTTCTGGGCAGGCTAAGTTCTCCCCCTTCCCTCTTCCCCCTTCCCGCTTGCCTCTTCCCGCTTGCCTCTTGCCACTATTTCCCCGTTTTGCCATTTGCCATTCGCCGTTTGCTGTTTTGCCGTTTTTTATGAGCGTCTTAAGGGCACGCACGATTTTTGTGATTTTTGCGTGGCGCGTTTCACTTCAGTCGGAGTTTCCAGAGTTCGGGCTCGGGCTTGGACTTAGATCTGGGCCTAGGACTGGGACTAGGCTCTCTGCCGCCCCACCGCTGAGTGCGTTATGTGGCACTGATTACCGTTGGCTGTGGCTGCGGACCAGAGGTCAGCACCAGAGTTGAGCCATGAAAATGTTTCCTGGGCTTCGAAAATTGAATTTAATTTATTTGTGAGCTTCGCTGTGCGGCATCGCTGGCAGGCAGCACTCTACTCTGATCATTATTATGGCAGAAGGCCGAGACCTTAATTAGCCGAATGGCTTCATATCATACGAGTTTCTTGGGGGTTTTCTCTGTTTTTTTGTGGTTGCCGGATAGCGGATTGCTTCCAGGATGGGACTTATGCGACAATTTGCTTGCAAAAATAGTCAGTTTTTCCTTTCCCACTTCCAGACTTGATCGGGTGTTGGGGAGACCCTCAACAGAAAAGGGGGCCCCGACCATAAGCTGA